GTGTTACAAGCTGTTTGTGCATAGATAAGATCCCTAAAGTTGCAAAGACTAAAGTCCCAAACCCAAAGAGATATTCTTTATAAAAGTTAAGACTCGTCCACGCCCTCTTAAAACGCCTCGTTCAAACACGCCCCCACGTCTATGTCACTGTGTGGGAAGATTTGCATAACACCGCCCAAATTTTCACGCAAAGAAAGAAGGCCTAACTTTGATTCTCACTGTAGTATTGATGCTGCTGCCGCCGCCATGTCGTGAAGATGCTGTGTGTTCCATTGTGAAAAGGAAACTACTTTGTTTGGCCTTCCAAAAGAGGACACAACTAGAAATCAGTGGTTAAGTTGTATTTACAACACTGCTCCAGAACAGTTCAACCCAAACATTCAGATGTGTGCAGCGCATTTTACGGAGGACTGTTTCTTGATCCTGGGAAGGCTGTGCACAAAGGCTGTTTCTATAAAGTGGGGCAATTCCAACTTTGCAAGGACAGTCTGGCGCTTCTGACTCACAGTCTGTAAGTACGTTTACATATTTAAAGAATTTGCCACTGATGATTCAAACGTGAGTTTTGAGCAGTGTAGAGTAGCGCTTGTTGTTTGTCATTTCTCCGATCACAACATGGTTTTATGTTTACGCTGGCGCAATATGCAACGAAACACGTGAAAAGACAGTACAAGTCATTATAATCCGTAATTATGTCCCCACTGGACGCAACAAATGCCTCGTTTATGATGGGTTTTATTGGTTTTGTCTCGTCGCGCCGGGACACAGCATCACAGTATGGTAAGGGCCGTAACATTTCCGTCTCACGCTTGAGGTATTTGGCCAATCACAACGCACTGGATAGCTGGCCAATCACAGCACACCTCGCTTCCTCAGACCGATGAGCTTTGTAAAAATCAACGCGTTTCAGAAAGACAGGGCATAGAGGAGAAGCAATAATGTAGAGTATGTGGAAAATGTGTTTTTTTAACCTTAAACTGCATAAACACATTGCATTACACCAAATACACAAAATTATGTTATTTTTAGCAACACCATATGTAAGAGATAATGTACATCCAGCCAGTTGTTATCTCAGAATAAACCCCGACAGGGTGCGGAGGGGTCTTGTATCAGCCTGAAGGGGTTTATTCTGAGATAACAACTGGATGGATGGATGTACATAATTCCTTACTTAATAACCTCGTTATCCTTCTCACAGCTTCATGCCGTTCAGTTAATTTAAAGCATTATATTTCTGCACGAGTTTTCATACTTTCTTGTCTACCAGACATGTTCACGCTTCACTACTCTGTACAACACTAGTCTCTAAACTACGGTGCAGTCACACCACTTATTACACAACATTTCACCACAAAAATAATTAAGGCAATAAAAGAATTAAGTTTTAAAACCTTACCAGTTTGTTAGTTCTCTAATAATCCATTACAGCGTACAAAACCATCGTAGCAAAATGGCAGCAGCTGCGTTTGTATGAAACAAGAGCGAGTCCGCGATACCAGGATGACATAATTAAATAATTGTACACCATTTTGAATCGAGTTTTAATATTTTATTAGCTAAACAAACGC